AGGAAGAGGAAGAGGAGGGGAAAGGAGAAATGAAGGGATGGGGTCAAAGGTCATTTGTTCCTGATGAAACACAAAGCACTGTAGTTGACCATGCTCTTCTGCAGGAATGGCCATTAGGGAAGTTGGTCTACAGGGTTTACACTACTCACACATACAGTTTAAGTACAGTACACAGTATCAGTGCTTCAGATGAGAGAACTTCCACTCTTCTATGTACAGAAAATACTGTAACACATGTTGGACACCCTCAAACTCATAATTGTCAAACTGATTTGTAGCCAAGTATTTCTTACATGTTATATGTTTGCAGAACTGAGAGACGACTGCCCAGCGGAGGAAGAGAAAGTCTTTTATCAGAAGACTGAGAAACTTATTTGCTACAGTTTATAATAAAATGTGTTATTCGTTATTCAATTTTGATCTGACATAATCATTGCTCGTCTGCCTGGATCTCTCTGCATTTTTTTTAATTCCTATTACTTTCAAGGCCAGTTTTTGGTCATCCAGCTGCTCTGATTGCCAGAGGATAGTGATGAGCAGATTAGTGGTCTTTATACTCTTCCTTGTAAAATATGATTTAGTTGAGGTGATCTCTTAATCGCTAACTCATGAAGGTGTGAAAGCTCATGACTGTCAGTCCTGCTCCTGGAGACCCAGAGGGACTGAGCCCTGATCTGGAGCTGGAGAGCTGGTGACTCAGAGGGACTGAGCCCTGATCTGGAGCTGGAGACCCAGAGGGACTGAGCCCTGATCTGGAGAGCTGGAGATTCAGAGGGACTGAGCCCTGATCTGGAGCTGGAGAGCTGGAGACCCAGAGGGACTGAGCCCTGATCTGGAGCTGGAGACCCAGAGGGACTGAGCCCTGATCTGGAGCTGGAGATTCAGAGGGACTGAGCCCTGATCTGGAGAGCTGGAGATTCAGAGGGACTGAGCCCTGATCTGGAGCTAGAGAGCTGGAGACCCAGAGGGACTGAGCCCTGAGCTGGAGAGCTGAAGACCCAGAGGGACTGAGCCCTGATCTGGAGCTGGAGAGCTGGAGACCCAGAGGGACTGAGCCCTGATCTGGAGCTAGAGAGCTGGAGACCCAGAGGGACTGAGCCCTGATCTGGAGCTGGAGAGCTGAAGACCCAGAGGGACTGAGCCCTGATCTGGAGCTGGAGACCCAGAGGGACTGAGCCCTGATCTGGAGCCCGAGAACCAGAGGGACTGAGCGCTGATCTGGAGCTGGAGAGCTGGAGACTCAGAGGGACTGAGCCCTGATCTGGAGCTGGAGAGCTGGAGACCCAGAGGGACTGAGCCCTGATCTGGAGCTGGAGAGCTGGAAACTCAGAGGGACTGAGCCCTGAGCTGGAGAGCTGGAGACCAAGAGGGACTGAGCCCTGATCTGGAGCTGGAGAGCTGGAGACTCAGAGGGACTGAGCCCTGATCTGGAGCTAGAGAGCTGGAGACCAAGAGGGACTGAGCCCTGATCTGGAGCTGGAGAGCTGGAGACTCAGAGGGACTGAGCCCTGATCTGGAGCTGGAGAGCTGGAGACTCAGAGGGAAAGAGCCCTGATCTGGAGCTGGAGAGATGAAGACCCAGAGGGACTGAGCCCTGATCTGGAGCTGGAGACCCAGAGGGACTGAGCCCTGATCTGGAGCTGGAGACCCAGAGGGACTGAGCCGTGATCTGGAGCGAGCAGAGCTGGAGACCCAGAGGGACTGAGCCCTGATCTGGAGCTGGAGAGCTGGAGACCCAGAGGGACTGAGCCCTGATCTGGAGCTGGAGAGCTGGAGACTCAGAGGGACTGAGCCCTGATCTGGAGCTGGAGACCCAGAGGGACTGAGCCCTGATCTGGAGCTGGAGACCCAGAGGGACTGAGCCCTGATCTGGAGCGAGCAGAGCTGGAGACCCAGAGGGACTGAGCCCTGATCTGGAGCGAGCAGAGCTGGAGACCCAGAGGGACTGAGCCCTGATCTGGAGCTGGAGAGCTGGAGACCCAGAGGGACTGAGCCCTGATCTGGAGCTGGAGAGCTGGAGACTCAGAGGGACTGAGCCCTGATCTGGAGCTGGAGACCCAGAGGGACTGAGCCCTGATGTGGAGCTGGAGACCCAGAGGGACTGAGCCCTGATCTGGAGCGAGCAGAGCTGGAGACCCAGAGGGACTGAGCGCTGATCTGGAGCTGGAGACCCAGAGGGACTGAGCCCTGATCTGGAGCGAGCAGAGCTGGAGACCCAGAGGGACTGAGCCCTGATCTGGAGCTAGAGAGCTGGAGACCCAGAGGGACTGAGCCCTGATCTGGAGCTAGAGAGCTGGAGACCCAGAGGGACTGAGCCCTGATCTGGAGCTGGAGACCCAGAGGGACTGAGCCCTGATCTGGAGCTGGAGACCCAGAGGGACTGAGCCCTGATCTGGAGCTGGAGAGCTGGAGACTCAGAGGGACTGAGCCCTGATCTGGAGCTGGAGAGCTGGAGACCCAGAGGGACTGAGCCCTGATCTGGAGCTGGAGAGCTGGAGACTCAGAGGGACTGAGCCCTGATCTGGAGCTGGAGAGCTGGAGACCAAGAGGGACTGAGCCCTGATCTGGAGCTGGAGAGCTGGAGACTCAGAGGGACTGAGCCCTGAGCTGGAGAGCTGGAGACCAAGAGGGACTGAGCCCTGATCTGGAGCTGGAGAGCTGGAGACTCAGAGGGACTGAGCCCTGATCTGGAGCTGGAGAGCTGGAGACCAAGAGGGACTGAGCCCTGATCTGGAGCTGGAGAGCTGGAGACTCAGAGGGACTGAGCCCTGATCTGGAGCTAGAGAGCTGGAGACCAAGAGGGACTGAGCCCTGATCTGGAGCTGGAGAGCCAGAGGGACTGAGCCCTGATCTGGAGCTGGAGACCCAGAGGGACTGAGCCCTGATCTGGAGCTGGAGAGCTGGAGACCCAGAGGGACTGAGCCCTGATCTGGAGCTAGAGAGCTGGAGACCAAGAGGGACTGAGCCCTGATCTGGAGCTGGAGAGCTGGAGACCCAGAGGGACTGAGCCCTGATCTGGAGCTGGAGACCCAGAGGGACTGAGCCCTGATCTGGAGCTGGAGAGCTGGAGACCCAGAGGGACTGAGCCCTGATCTGGAGCGAGCAGAGCTGGAGACCCAGAGGGACTGAGCGCTGATCTGGAGCTGGAGACCCAGAGGGACTGAGCCCTGATGTGGAGCTGGAGACCCAGAGGGACTGAGCCCTGATGTGGAGCTGGAGACCCAGAGGGACTGAGCCCTGATCTGGAGCGAGCAGAGCTGGAGACCCAGAGGGACTGAGCCCTGATCTGGAGCGAGCAGAGCTGGAGACCCAGAGGGACTGAGCGCTGATCTGGAGCTGGAAAGCTGGAGACCCAGAGGGACTAAGCCCTGATCTGGAGAATACCGGCATGAACGGCACCTGGATATTCTGGATGGCTGTCCCAGCAAGAGCAGCGTTACGCCAGCATGCATTCCAACAGTGTTTGAGGTCTTTGCTCTTGTCCTGAAGCAGCTGGAGAATCTGATGTAGCAGTCAGAAGTCCTCCTGTTGGGTCTGCACTGCTGTATGTTCTCCAGACGAGGCCAAGACAAACGTCCCTTTAGCCAGATGTGGTGGAGCTCCATCGGTGAACAGCAACAAACACACGTTAGTCCTTGTTTAAGAGTTTACTCGCATCAGATCCAAGAGATGAACGCTTTTCACAAAATTACATGCAGATTTTTTTTTTTTTTTTCTTACTATTAAAAATATTCTGGAATGACATGAGGGTAGGTAACTGATGTCCGATTGTTTTTTGCAAAAAAAAAACACTAAAAACTTATAAGAACGAATAAGCAAACCATGTTTTCTTTCCTTTCAAACCGGAAATCATCCTCATCATGAGGCATCAGGGGAATAACAGTCCTTCTAACTGAGGGCCGCATGAAGTTATGCATCTACACCTGCCTTCAATCCTTCTTCACAGGGTTCCTGCAGTTTCAGCTGAGTTTAGATGAGCCTCATGAGGAGCTGATGCCAGAGACAAACATTCACTGGTTGGGCAACAGTTGAGCTGGATCAACCACAGCTGGATCATGGCAGTCACAAGCCTGTTCTCCACATTTATGTAATGAAGCCAAATGTGTGACCTGTATTCAATATAGCAGAAGTTGAGCCAATGGAATAACCTTGCCTTGAATACACACTGTAAAGCTGGCTGGAAGAGCCGATTTAATATGCTTTCAATTTGTCATTCTCAGCTTATTTCAGTTTTATGTACAGTGCTGTATTATTTAAGAATTTAATTGAAGTTATCCAATACAGAGTTTACTTAAAAGTTTTCCTTATATAGAAATTACTTGAAGTTTTCCTGCACTGCATTTACTCGAAGTTGTCCTTGTATAATTTACTTGAAGTTGTCTTTAAAGCCACTCCTCCTTATGTGTTCATACAAGTATATGCTGTTTTAGCTAAAGGGATTCAAGATTCAAAATGGTCACAAAATTAGAATCGAAGGAGATATAATACAGATTTAAGACATGTAAGATTTAATAAAGGAATTGGAGCCAGACTTCAGCGCTGTTTAGCAGTATTGCCTGAACGAGGATTTTCTGTTTTTGCATTCTTGTGTTTGTGAAAATAAATGTGCAACACTTTTAACGGACTGGCCGTGTATTTTTTGAGGTGTAAGTGGAAGACACTTCAACTCCTAATAAAAGCAAGAAAAAGATGGCTTTGATCCTTGTTTCTCTGCTGGCGTTGTTCATGTAAAAGATTCATATATCAGCTCACTCACCGTTGCAGTTCTTCAGAGGCTCATCGGGGAAATACTCAAACACAACCTTTATTTCTATGCCCACTGCTTTCTCACACACTTTAAAACCCTTTTTATTTCCCAATGTTAACAGTCATGACATAAAACATTCAAAAGTCATTCAACTAAAAACACACACAATATTTGTGGCAAGACTAAAATAATGACACATTTCAAATGGTGACATTGAATGGTGTTTATTGATGTACTCAGAGCATGGTTTCGGTTGTTTTCTGGATGGATTGTTGCTTGACATCAACACTTCACCTCAGCGATGGCGAACAGTGACAGGAGCGTCTGTAGAGATGTTACCCAGGAGGCCAGCCCAGCTGCCGGCCGCCCAGCACGTGGATGTGCATGTGGTACACGGACTGGCCCCCGTCGGGCCCCTCGTTCAGCACCAGCCGGTATCCTCTGGGTAAGCCCGCCTGATCCGCACACTTCTTAGCCACCAGCATCAGGTGTCCCAGCAGCTGCAGAGGCCAGAGGAACACATCACACACACACACACGGTCTGCTCAGGTGGCACGCGTTTCAAAAAGGGTCACTTTATTAAAAATAAATAAACCTAAGACATGAGTTACAAAGATAGATCATAATACAACCTTTCAATTGTGTTTAACATAGGGATGTTAACGATTAATCGACGATTGATTAATTGTCGATAATACATTTCATTTTTGTGCAACATTTTGTTTTGTGCAAATGTAAGTTTTAATATTGTGTTTATTTTGTGTAGGCCTATCTATATCTGATTAATCTTATATAGGAAGCATTTGGTCAAGAATTAACGCTGTAGTAAAGCGTGTGGTGATCATCTTCAGCGCGGGCAGCTAAAACGGCAATGCACGACTAATAATAACTATGATTGGGACTGTCATATCATATTACATAACATTATAAAGAGAACAATATTGTAAAAAAACATTGTGAATTATTTGGGTTTAGTTGCCGTGTTTCATCTCGTTGCGCGTCCACAACATGAGTCATTCTGTATGGCTTGTAACTTAGTTCAAGTTCACTTGTGCATTCGCATCATTTTGTGCAGATATAATTTGCAATATTACGTTTATTTTGTATCTGATTAATCTTATACATATAGGATGGATTTCTTTGAGTTAAATAACACACTAGCAAAGTGCTCCAGTTCACCAGTGTTCATTCAGCGCGCACCTCAAGCAGCAATGCACAGCTCATAATAACTATGATTGGGACTGTCACATAACATGAGAACACTATTTTATAATAGTTCAATAATATTTGAACTATCGCGTTTTCAGCACGTTGTTCCAGGAAGAGCGTACACATTCTGACAAGCACGCATCTGACACGGCGTTGGTGACACATTGTTTAAGTCGTTATATTTTCTAAGTAATTTAATTAAATGATCAATCACATCGAAACATTTTACAATCCTACTAGCCCTTTATTTAGATTAAAACCCTTCTCATTCATTTGGGGAGGAACATAGCGTTGTGAGCATTTGCAGACCCTGTCATGCTGTTGGCCATATGCCACTGCAGCAGACGCATATCGCAGTATTAAGGCTAACGATTAATCGCTCGTTAATTTAAACGACGATCGATCATGGGAATGTGTGAAAATTGACATCCCTAGTTTAACAACTGAATAATTATGAAGAGAATCTTCAATCTGCCAATCAGAGAATCACAGGAAATAGATGTGACTGTCCAATCCCATCTTCTCTATCTGAATACCTTGCAATAAACTTAAAAAATAAACTATATATAATATATATATATTAATGATTGTACTGTTGTAAGCTGGTTGATTTGGATCAGAACACTATTGAAGAATTATTAAATGAACAAGAAAATTACTTCAGGAACAAAGCCACAAATACAGATTCATGTGCACAAGATTAATTTGGGAGTCTGTTGCTTTGAGATGAAGATGTTTATTATAAATAAAGTGAGACAGAAACTTTTTCCTTAGCTGTAGGCAAAGGCAAGCGCATTTCAAATCAGTGCTTCTCCCGGGAGAATAGCGCTAAATTAATCCCCTATATTAGCTATAGGTGTGCATTTGTATGCACTAGATTTGGTATTTGTTCTAAGGTTACATGCAATTTGTAGGATGGTTTGTATTTATTTGTGAAACAGCCTATTATCTAGCCTCATTTATTTATATTTGTAAAACACAATATTGGTCTGCATTTTCGCTCAAATTGAACTTTGTTTTTGCAAATTGCTTTCTGTTTGTTTGCGAGTCGAGTTTTCCTTTGCAAAGGAGATCGAGTTTGTATGCAAAATGCTGGATTTGTTTGTTTAATTATGGCACATAATTCGCTCCATAGTGATCTCAGAAACCTGTAAACACACACACACACACACACAGTTTAACACTGACCTCTTTATCTGCGTCCTCTACTTTGGAGATCTGAGTGATGGGCTTTCTGGGGACCACCAGTATGTGAGTGGGAGCCTGAGGGGCCACATCATGGAAGGCAATGCACTGTTCATTCATTACAGGCAGAGAGAAAGAGAGATTAACAGTGTGTATTATTCATTCAACAACTGGGTGTATTGAATAAATAAGTGTAAAAGTACTATAACGGCCGTGCAACTGAAAGCGTTCACGTGTTTTGCAGCGGTGTCTCCGTTAATCGCTGTTCAATGTGCAGAACCGTGACAGTTCACATACAAGTGCAGGACATGTGAACTAGCACTGAAATCTGGCACATCGCCAAATATTGAGCACAAACTCATATCGCAATTGAACTGTCAGCAGAACTCGAAATGGGTTTACAAACGCGTATAACTTTGATGAGCCACTCGATGACTCTCATTCGTATGATCGAGTCTGAAACGCATTAAAACGCTGCAGAGCAAGCGCAGTAACGCCATCGCTGTACAAACAGCAGAGATCGCACCTGATCGTCTTCATAAATTATGTTGGCAGGAATCTCTTTACGGATGATTTTGCCGAATATCGTGTCTCCTCCTGGCTGCGCGCTCTGCGCCCGCGACACCTCATCCGCCATGATGATCACAGATCTGCTGCCAGTGCCTTCTGCACGCACTCACGCTGTCTGCAGCTGCGCGCAGTGCGCATGCGCAGCTGTCGATCACACACGCGCGCGCACACAGTTCAACGCCTATTGGCTGAACCAGCACGACACACGACAACAACCATAGACATAATAAATATTAAATATAAAGTATTTATTATGTCTATGATGACAACAACGACTGGACAGCGCCCGCCGACGATCGGCTTCATGATTGGACAGCTGAAAATGAACTCTTTTCATAATAAAAGCGCTATGACTTGTATATTTTATTGTTTGCTTTCATTTGTTCTATAATGCGTTGTCGGTACGTACTACTATATTTATTATAATAAAACCCAATTAAACTGAGAAGTTTTATAATTTTAATATTCTATTATTGCAATCTTGCTGCTAAAATGAGCATCGATCTGTTCTTTTTTTTAAAGCGCAGAAATAAACTGAATTTCAGTCTAAAGCTCAGTGCAAACCTAAAAACTCCACAATAAAGCAAGGTCTAATAGAATACAAAAATAATACTATTTATGAATTTTTCCCGTCTTGTCAGCTTTTAATTTGACAAGACGCTATTGTTTGACTTCCGTGTTGTTATTCGTATCACTGCTGACATGTCTGACAAATTTGCTGTGGTTCTTTGTTTATTGGGAGGATTTTGCTTCATTTCATGGAAACACTCATTAATTGGTAACACGTTATCATGATTATC